GCTCCCCGGCAACGCCCACCTTGCTCTTTGAGGCGGATTATCTCAGTGTCAGAACCAAAGCTGTTCCAGGCGGTGCAGTTGTAAATCGTTTGGAAATCAGCCCGGACGATGTTGCTGATGGTCAACGTGGAGATAACGCCTTCATCCGTGCTGACCGTCTCCACCGTGTAGCGCCCGGAGGTCCCCGACTCCAGGACGTTCTCCTTCCAGGACCAAGCCTGCCGAGCAAGAAGAGAAAGGTCATGTTTGCTCATTGTAGGGCTCCCAAAAGTGTCCCAGACACCCTCCGTGACCTGTTGAGGGTTGATGCTACTCACGATTCGGTCCGGCGGTGGGGTGCTGCGGATGAAACACTTGATCTGCCCTTTCTGGCCGTGCAAGGCATGCTGCGTCTGGGTGCTGGAGATGATGGGTGGCCCTGCAGGAGAGAAGGAGAAGGCTGTTGGCATCTCACATGGGTGGTGGGGCTAGAAGACCATGGAGGAACATCGTGTTGGCCATGCAATGTGGAAGAGCTGCAAGAGGAGTTGCTACGAGATGTCAACGTACTGCTGGGGACAACCCAAGGTGCTTCTTGAGCTCAGGTCTTGAGCCCAGGACTTAAGCCCAGGTCTTGAGCCCAGTTTTTGGGATAGTTGGAGTGGGAGAGCTTGCTGTGCTCGTCCTCTCTCCTATCAATCCATCCTTTGGGGAGTTGAGAAAATTTTCCCATTTTTTTCTCCCTCGAGATGATGTGTTTCCTTAAGAAGAGTCTCAGGGATTTGGGGTAAAGTGGGGAGAAACAGATTGGTTTGGGTATTCCTGAATGATTCTCATCCAAGTCGCCCATTTATGAACAAAAATGTACCAAAATGCACAATTCTTCACTCTATATATTCATATATAGCATTGCCTATAGAAATAATCCCGGTACCACCCTTCTGCACCAAACTTTCACACTCTCCAAACATTTCCCACCGTGCTACAGCCCTGTCTCTCCTTCCCTATGATGTTCCAAGGTGAGACACCCAGAAAAACAGCCAAGTGACGAACCCAAAGCCAACGGAAGCACAAGCGGTGATGGGATCTGTACGCCAGGACTAAATAAAAAAATTAAAATTTTAAAAAGCCATCTTCTTTCTATTTTGATGGTTGTATGTTACTTATAAATTCTGGAAGCTCTCCAAGACTGGGTGACGCTGGAGAAAAATGGCTTAATAATCATTAAAAGGATCATTTTCCCCCGGGAGAGTGGATTTTAAATGGCAGGAATTTCAACGGTTGCGGGTTTTTATTATTGCTTCAGGAGTTCAGAGTCGAAGGCTTATCATCGTGATAATAGCCTATGACTAAAAGACCATTTGTGAGACGAACATGCCCCGAATAATAGCGCAAAGTTGCAAGGCTCTTCACATCTAGGGCCAGCGTCTGATTCTCCACCGGGCTGTGGCTCCTTCTGAAAGCTGCCAATCTCCGGCTTGGCATTTCAGCACTAACATATCAGGCAGGAAAAAAAGGCTTTAAACAATGTTGCTATGGATATAAATGATGGAGCTATTGGTCGCCGTTATTTTTAGCCCGCCGGTGCCGATTTTATTTGCGCCATCCTGGTGGCTCGCACAAAAGAGAAATGCGGCTTGCTGACTTGGGAGCCTTGGAGGAACAAAAAGGATGGTCTCCACTTCTCCAGCCTGCTTGAGTCCAGCTCAGCCTTTCAAAAGGTTTGGTGGAAGAGTTGGGTTTAACTCCTTGCTTCCTGCAGAAGCTTTGGGTTGGCTCATGCTGCCAACCCTTGGTCCGTCCCAAGGTCCTCATGGGGTAGGGACACGCTTGGTGAAGACTTCAATGGGCTGTAGGCATGAGCTGAGGGGACACCACGATGTTCTCCTGACCAACCACTGTGGCAGATCAGCCCCTCCGGTGCTCCCAGCTCTCCGGCAGACTCGGTTGGTTTGTTGGGGTGAATCCCAGGTGAAATAAATCCTGAATTTTCCACCCGGTGTTGGCCAACCCTTCTAACAAACCTTTTTTTTTTGCTGAGTGAGATGGGCAGGGGTGGTGGTCCCTGCTCAGCAGGTCCTGCCAAGCCCAGATGATGCATCAGGCACGGTGGAGGTGATTTTGGGGTGCTTCTACTGAGGTGGGAGCTTCCACCAGGCTTATGTGCAGTCAGGAGCTTGGAGAAGCTTTGGCTCGGGCAGGGGCCGTAAATCCGCCTGCTGCTGCTGCTTTTTTATTATGGCACCAACAGTTTTTTTGCTTCCTTCTCGTCTCTGCTGCTCCAGCCCTGCCAAATGCTGCTCATTTGCATAATCCTCCTTCCCATTAACGAGTCTCTGAATCATATCTGCTTCTTTTCAGGCTGCTGGCCTTAAATTCTGGCGAGGGGATGGTCTGCCAACCACGGCGGGGAAGGCAACGAGACTCGACCTGAGATGCTCTCCTACCCCAGCATCATCCTGCCAAAATTTCTGACTGTTTTGAGAATGGATGGGTGGATGAAGGTCCATCAGTTGGGGTCCTGCTGCTTTCGGTGGGATGGCTCAGCCCAACTGAAGTCCGCGTGCACTGATCAGAATTTACGGAACAAGCCCAAACCAGACACTTCTCAACGTCTAATTTTACCGCGATGAATCCCAACCCATGGAGAAAAGCACCAAGACAATTGTATCACCCTCTGGATTTAAAATCACTCGAAAAGATGAAGTGTTCAACTTTCCATCTCCAATTACAGCAGAAAAGATTTTTCAGCAGAATTCATTAGCTGCATTAGACACACCGTGCCGTGCTCTGCAGAGCTGCTCCGGTCCTTGGGGGATGTTGGACCTTGGGATGCAGCTCTGGGGCTTGCCCACCTCGGTTCTCCTTGCTTGGAGAGCCAGGAGACACCTGAAATACCACTGCTTCACCAAAAATCAGCTTTTTTTTCTCCTGGTAGCAGCAAAAAAGCAGAAAGTGCCACCAAGAACAGCCAGTTCCCTGCATAAAAATACCCCAAAATGGTCGTTCAGTTAAAAAAATCAGCGATCCTGGCCTCTGCCCATGCGTCAGGGAGATAATTCCCCCTTTTTTACCATTTTTTTATCCTATTTTCTTCACTTTCCTGGTTCAGGATGAGCTTCACCCCATATTCCCAGGGGAAAAACCATTTACATTTGAGCCCACCTCAACCTGGAGGTGTTGGATGCTCCGTTGGCATAGGGTCCAACGCCAATGATGGCACATCCCAACGTCGTCACCTTGGGGTCGCATGTCCTGGTGCGATGGGTTGCTGCGGGCAGTCGTCTCCAAGGAGATGCTCAAAACTGAGCATCCAACCTCCTGGTTTTTATTTTCTCCCCCATCAGCTCTACAACGGCGTGAGCGGCAAAGCTCTCGAGCGCTTCGCTCCGCGTTCAAGGCGGTTGCGTGGCTGGTAGGTGTCGGGCAAGGAGCAGGTTCTTTGTTTGTGCTAATTTGTTGCTTTGTTTGCCACCAACTGGCTTAATTGTAATTAAAACCCAGCAGCCGGCGGGGAAGGAGCATGCAGGCGCCGAGGAGCTGAAGTCAAGGGAGTGGTTGGTTTTCAGTCCCCCGCTGCGTCGCCCTTGGCTTCGCTTTCTGGCATTATCCGCGTCGAAAATGAGCGCTTGCTGCTGCATGTGCTGCTTCCCTGCTTATTTTCTTCTCTTTGTGACAGCGAGCAGGGACTGAAGCCTGCCGGTTTGTCACCCAGGTGAGAAATATTGCAAAATTCCGCCTCTATTGATACCACTTGCAGCCCGCCTGCCTTTTCCCTTCCATATTTAGGCTGAAATTCATTATCGGCGGCTGTGGGGTCATCGTTAAAACTCCAGGAGCGCTTCCCAGCTCCCAGGCGTGGGTGAGGGTCTGGGTCACATCCTGACCCCCCGAGGAGCTGCGGAGGATTTATAAAGCACCGCTGCCTCTCGCAGGTATCCTCTGAGAGAGTGATTAGGCTGCCGGTCTCGGATCCCAGCTCAATTCCCAGCTCTCGGGCTGTACAACAGAGACAACAGCGCTCTCCGACCTTGCAAGGGTTTTTTTACAAGATAAATCTATTAAAGATTTAAAGACACCGGCTCCCGACTACTCAATAAACCCCTGTTGATAATAAGGAACCAAGCAGGTCATAGATAATGTTGGTTTTTTGGGTTTTTTTTGCTTTAACCCATGCATCTCCAAGAAAATGAATGCAAAATCCAATTTATTTGTATCGCCTGCCTTCCTCAATCCAACCGTGGGTGGGATTTGCTCTGAAAGCAAATATCCGAGGGGATAATTCGGCAACGTGAGCTGGCAGAGCAACAGGAACAAAAAAAAAAAAAGAGAGAGAGAATAGCAATAGGAAAGCGAGAGGTACCGTTGACGGTGAGCGTCACCTCCCGTTCCCCCGCACCGACCCGTGGGACCACGGCTCGGCACACGTATTTCCCGGCGTCTTCCTGGCGGACGGACTTCAGGGTCAGCTTGTTCTCGTTGCTCAAGACCTGGAAGAGAGGAAGGGGGTTGATCTGGGGGGGAGATGCCAAGTGGCACAAGAGACGTTGAGTTGCAAGCTCCATGGAAAATAGGAAACGAAGTGGATGAGCCCAAAAGTCTTACGTGGCATGGAAATATCACTTACTGCTGGTGACCAAGGACGAAATAAATGACGTGGTTTTTTTGGGGGGAATATAAGTCCTGTTCCTATTCATTTGAATTTTTACAACAAAGAGTAGCTTTGGAGCAATGGTGGAAACGCATCCCTGGGGCCAGCTCATCACCTCTCCTCCTCCCAGCACCCGCGTACTGGGTGAGCCTCTGGTTCCCAGTTGCCGATGCCTCTGGGAACTGGTGCTCAGGCAAAGCCCTGAGCGGTGGTTGGACATGGATCTGGATCTCCCTGTAGCATGAAGATGGGGGTTTCAGATCCTTTTAAAACCCTTTTAGCATCAATCACAAAAATATCCATGCAAACGCCTGTGCTGACTTGGCCTCACCCTCTCTTCGGTCTCTGATTTTCTGGGAAAATAGGAAAAAAAAAATCTTGCAGGAGCCCAACCTGGCTCTGAAAGCAGAGGGGCTGGAAAAAACCAGCCCTGATCCCACATCCCACCGCGACAGCGGGGTGCTGAGGGGCTTCACAAAGCTGCATCCCCTGCCAGCTCTGGGAGGATGGATGCGGCTCTGCTGACCAGCACGAGCATCTCTGCTGGGTTAAAACCAGCTGCAGGTCTAGCCTAAGCCCTGAGACGCTCCCAGCTGGCATGACTCGGCTAGAGGGAGCTAAATAAAAAGGGAGAAGGCTCCTTTCATCTACCCTGCACGCTCCAGTGGCTTTAAGAAAATGAAATAGCTGCCTACAGCGCGCAAGCATTGCCTATAACAATAATAACCACGAGAAACAACAACTGCAACGGCGGGATGGGAAACCACCCGGGGATTATCGACCCGCTGGGATTCCTCGGCTGATTCGAGCCATCAGCTCTCCCAAGTCTATAATTACTTCCCAGGAGATGGTCTTCGCTGAGGTCATTATGGCTTGGAAAAAATACTCCGGCAGTTAATGCCTCAATGTCTGCACCCCTCCGCGGTCCGTGCGTGGGGAAAGGAGGGGAGGAGAGCGACCCAGATCGTTCATCTCGCTCCCGTCGGAGTCCAGCCCTCTGATAGTACCCAGTCTTGAGCTGCGTAAATCAGTGTTGCCTCATCGACTGCAGAGTTTCACGTCTCAGCCCTCCTTTATCTTCTTACCGTGGCTTTGCTCAGCCCTCCTGTCTGCAACGAGGGCATCAGAGGATCTCCCCAGGCTGATGGAGCCATGACAATTGTTTGTAAAAGCTCCTTAGGCTTCTCAAGGACAAAAGGGATGTAGAGAAATCTGCTGGGGCAGATCCAGACTCTCAAACTCCCGCCCATAGTGGAGGGGAGTTGGGGTGAATGCATTAGGATGGGAGCTCACAGGTCTGGAGAACAGAAAGGACCATTCCAGAATGGACCACCCCAGAAAGGACCATCCCAGAAAGGACCATCCCAGAATAGACCATTCCAGAACGGACCACCCCAGAAAGGACCATTCCAGAATGGACAATCCCAGAGAGGACCACCCCAGAAAGGACCATCCCAGAATAGACCATTCCAGAACGGACCACCCCAGAAAGGACCATTCCAGAATGGACCATCCCAGAGAGGACCATCTCAAAATGGACCATCCCTGAAAGGACCATCCCAGAATAGACCATTCCAGAACGGACCACCCCAGAAAGGACCATTCCAGAATGGACCATCCCAGAGAGGACCATCTCAAAATGGACCATCCCTGAAAGGACCATCCCAGAGAGGACCATCCTAGAAGGAACCATCCCAGAAGGAACCATTCCAGAAAGGACCATCCCACATCTCCTGTGGGCATCTCATGCCCCGAATGTGCCGTTCCCCACCACCCGGGCAGCGATTCTTACCACGCCTGAGCCTCGCTTCATCCAGACGATGGTGAGAGATGGGTTCCCTGTCCAGGCACAGTTGAAGACTGCGTCTGAGCCCAGGTCAACGAGGAGGGACTGCGGTTCTGTTGCCATCCTGGGCCCAACTGCACGGAGGAGACCAGAGTTACTCCCAGGGATGGGTTGTGTCAACCAGAAACCCTCAAAACAAAGAGGTCACTGAGTCAGAGGAAGCAGTGGGGTGTCTCGACAGACCTATGGGTCCCCAAATAAAGAAGACCCTGAGAGAGGTGCCTGCTGCAACCCCAGAAGAACCAGCTCCCCAAGAACCAGCACCATGAGACAGAAGAACATCACGGGTCCCACCACCAGCAGATTTACAAAGCCAGAGCTGCAAGAGGGCCCAGCAAATCCTGGTCGCCCTGGGCACGTCAGATCTAGCTGTGTCCCCTTCCCGTTAATCTTCAGCAGATCTGCTGGCCCTGCTTAGCCCTGGGAAGTCAGTTTTAAGCTGATAGATCACTTACAGTAGACGTCCACGGTCCTGCTGATGTTTGTGCTGCCCAATGCATTGGTGACCTCGCAGGAGACGGGTTCGAAGAAGAAGGTGTGGTCCACGATGGTTTCATAGAAGTCACCGGATGCTTCCTTTATAACCTGGCCTTTTTTCGCCCACCTGGGGAAGAAGAAAGAGCCCTTGACTTTAGGAGGGACATGTCCTCAGCATCATCTGCTGCCCCAGGGATGCTGGGATCATAATTGCAGGTTTTGGAGAGGAGACATCAAAGTGTATGCACGTCCCTACTGAAACCTTCCCAAAATAACCTAAAATTGCTGTTTCCCTGGGAAAGCCCATTTCTCTGGAAATACACCTCCTTCCTTAGGATTGTGGGGCACGGGTGGAAGACCTCAAGTGATAGGAAGGATGGGACATGGAGAGTCTCCTCTGATGGGGAACCGTGGTGCCAGGACACAGCAGTCCTTTGCCAACCAACGCTGCTGGGTCCTTCCCACATCAAAACCACTAAAAACCTTTTCAGTTTTCCCTACTTTCACCCTTTTTTAATTTTTTTTTTTTTTTTTATTCCCAATCAAAGAGAACTTTATCCCTTTAAGGCACTTGAAATAACATTCCCCTGAAAAGCCAAGCTGGCATTTGCAACACTGCAACTTGCAAATTGTCTGGGAGAACAAGCTGTCAACTCAGCACTTGAATTAAGCCGCTGTTTGCCAAACAATGAGCAAATGTGACCTAATGGGGCACCATCTGGCAACCTGCCACTCTGGAGTGGGTGGGAAAAAAAAGAAGAGATGCTGTCGGGCGGCGTGAAACTCCAACTGCTCTTTGGGGGAAGGGAAAGAAAGCATAGGCAGCAGCCTGGAAAAAAAAAAAAAAGAAAAATAATAATCATCCTCCCAGAACAACTGACAAATTAAAGGGAAGAGGATTTCCCTGAGGACTGTTGTCTTGGGGCTTTCCTCTGGTTGTGCTGGATGGGTTGGGATGGTTGGATGCCATGGGGTGAGTGGGGTTGAAGATGCAGATGGTGGGAGCTGGGCTTGCCCCATCAATCCCTAGAGAGACAAGCCATGGAGACAGCTTCCCACACGGCATCGTTTTCGGGAAAGCTGTCCCTGTCAAGGCCAACAGCATCTGCTCATGGTCCTCCCATGGGTCTCCTGCTCCTCTGCTCGTCCCCACCGCTCCGTTATGTGTTCGCCAAAGGGAACCAAAGGCAACTGGAGGAACAGCGAATCGATATGGAGGATCTGTAGGCGTGCACGGCTTCCCCAAGAGCCTCCGTAGGACCAGAGCCAAACACCGGTCTACAGAAGGTTGGAAAACACGCTGACAGTGCTGCTAGAGCAAATTCCCCCAGCACTGGCTAACGGGAACCTAATTGAATCAGGCCAGCTGACCCGCATGGCTTCACCCGCCGTCTGACGACACGAGCGTTCTGAAAGAGATGTATGAGCGGTGCAGATGTGAGCTGATTTGTATGCGCTTATCTGCTCTCTCTTTTCATTTATCTTCGCACCTCTAACAGATGCTGACCGGCCACTTCATCTTCCCCCCCTCCTTCCCTTCCTCCCTGGACTCCTCTTTCAATAATTAATCAGGAGATGCTGCTTTTATTTCGAGGGCTGCACTTGGGGTGTTAATGAGGGAGGTTCCTCGGATGGAAAAACCAGCTCCACAGGTTGGAATGGTCAATGACGCTTGGGTGATGCTCTTCTCCTTCCAGAGGGAATTGCAAGCCAAGTGAGGCTGATCGCAGCATCACGCTTTGGGATCTCCCATCACAGAGAGCATCTGCAACAGTTTGTCCATTGGGGATGCCCCTCTTCACCGGGCAGGAGAGAGCCGGAGGGATCTGATGGAGCTCCGATATCTCATCCTTGAAGCTCTGGACAGGTTGTTGGGTGGAGAAACAACATGTCTTTGTTTCCTCCTCTTTGGTTTGATGGTCAAAAGCAACACCTGACAAAAGAAAACAAGTAGGAAGGAAGGTGGAAAGCTGGAGGGATGAGCACACTTCAGCTGGTGAACATGGAAATACCCTGTGCTTTGTGTCAGGGGTATTTCTGCTCCGTTCAGCTCCTTTTACAACTTTGTCCCCAGATTTCCAGCCTCTGAAGGGTCTTCTGCTCTTCAGGTTCTCAAGAGACTTGCCAGGTCCATCAAGCCGTTTCCTTCCAACAGCCAATGGGATGGAAGAATCAACCTATGGAAGAATCCAGCAATCCTCTCGTGCCTGGCACTTTCCTGGTTATTTTGCACAAAACCTGCTCTGCGAAGGCCAAGAAGAAGGTTCCAAGATGAGGACAAAAGTGAGTCGTGGCTTCCCTGGGTCATGTTGTCCTCCCAGCAGAGATAGGGAGGGCACCAGGGCTTGGAAATCAGATGAAGAAGTGTCCAGAGATGGGTTCAAGTGGGGTAGGCTTCAAGTAAGATCCTCCTGAACGTTGCAAAAGAAAGCAGAACAAAGGGCAAAGTTTCCAAGAGCTGGGTGACTTTGGAGTGCCTTGGGCAAACACGCACCAAGAGCCGTGGCGTGATGCTTTCTGGATTTGTTCAAAACCCATCACTTCCATAAAACCGGATTTCCGAGTGCTGATATGCGTCACAAACAGCGATTTTTTGTGCTTCAGCAGAGATCAAGGTTCTTGCTCCATTTTTCCAAGGCTTAACAGGGCTCAATCAATGTGGCTGAACAAGCAGTATAGATCTTTTATAATGTCAAATTGGTTTTTAATAACGACAGCTGATAACCCTCTTGTAAAGCTCCCCGTGATGTGCTCGTGGGCAGCCAAAGGCGAGTTACTCATGTTTTTACAAAGCCCATAACACGTCTCACTCACCTATTAACCTTTCAATAATTATTTTTAAGCAGAATCTGAATAAAACGTAGCCAAGAAGATGCAGAGGATGATCCAGCAGCCCCCAGTCCACCAGCTCCACCACTTTGGAGGGTATTTATCTCCCTCCAGGCTAAGTTTTATTTTTTTTGTTTCCTTCCCCGTATTTCTAACCTGAGTTTGTTCTTCTCTAACCTTGCTGGAGGGAGTGCCCAGTGCCTCCCAGTTCAGTATCTTTCAGAAATTGAATGGGCCTGGGTGATGGACAAAAACCAAATTTCCACCAGGAAACAGAGATTTCGATCCAAGTTTCAGAGGGGTTATTACAGACAGCAATGAAAAAACAGTGATTAAAGAATAATTAAAAAAAAAATCTACTGGGTCCTTTTAATGCTTAAAGACAAGAGGGAGGGGGGGACTTTTCTAAGGAGACGTTCTCCAGGGAAATAGCATTTTTCACTCCATCGATCGCTTCCTGGCTAAGAGTGCACACAAGCAAACAAGAACGGACAGTTTGGGATGTGTTGGCTCACAAGCCACGTTCAGTTTTCATACCTCAGCATTTCTTCCTTGCCCTGCTCTGCTTCCCAAAGGAAACCTGCTGCAAGCAAAATCTGCACAAGGTGTAAAAACCCAGCAGCTCCATCCCTTCACCCTGAGAACCCCATTTCTGGCTTCCAGGAGCCCACGAAGAGCTAACGGCGCTCACAATGAGAGTGTAGAACATCAGGATGCAGAAGAGCATCATCATCGGCGCACGTGCTGCCTGAGCTCGCCGTAACAAATAAATTCCTTTTGTAATTCTTCAACAAAACTCAAAAATACTCTTTGTTATAAAGCCCATCAGCCCATGGCTCTCTCCAGCATCTCCCAGCAGCACGCCAACAACCTGATGGCATCGCCAGCACCCAGCCCAGGGATGCTGGCGCTCTCCACACTCAATAATTCTCCATCAAGCACGACTTCAATCCATCCCGCAGGCTACGGGGATCCTCGCTAAGGAGGCTTTTTGTGGTTGCCAGCAGCGCGCGCTCCTTCAGCCAGACCTCGTGGCAGATCGGCTGCTCAGATGGCGCGGAAGCCAGGGAAGCCGGGTGTATCGTAATTTCTAATTAACAATGCGAAAAGAAAGCGAGTTGCTTGCCATATAAATTGTGTTTACTAAGGATGACTTAAAATAGATAAATATTTTCTTGGACGCGTTTTAATTGCTTAATAAAAGTAGCAAGAACACCCACAAATACCTTAAATAAATGCCTGGCTCAGGGAATGAATTAATTAACATTTCATTCTCGGGAAGGGCTATTAATCGCTACAAATTGTGCAGAGAATGGGTTTTGTTGCTTTATGGCCAACAGTTCCTTCGATTCCGAGTGCCATCATGTGGCAGTCCCCTCTCATCCTTCGACAAGAGCCACCCCACATCCCTCTGTCACCCCCAAAATCCCAGCATCCCGCATGGAAAGGAGTTGATGGAGCAGGATGGGGTTGGAGGTACAAGGGTAAGGACAAGAGATGGCTCGTGCCACCTTTGCCGAGCATCTCCCGTGAGTGACAGCCTTGTGAGAAATGATTGAGCGAGCGACAGGACCCGAGCGGTGTCATGCTACCCGCCCTGCGCAGCTCCAGCTGATGCATGGTGCAAATTATTTCTTTATTAAGAGTAAATTTCCCTAATGGTGATCTATGGGGTTATTCCTCTTCTCCTGCCTAATGAAGATGTGTGAGCCCTGTGCGATTCCGTGGCCACACGCCTGTGTCCTCCCTCCGTGCCGGCACAGTGGGTTCATTTATCAGCCAGTGCAGGCTCTAGGTAATCTCTTCGCCATCGAATTACATGGTTCGGTGTTCCAGTTTGGGGTTTAATCAAGTTCAAGAGGGCCCAGGGCATTCCCTAAAATGCTGAGCATACAGCAAAATGCTGAGCATCCTTCCCTGGTCCAGCAAAGGTGATGGAAGTGGTGGGGAACCACCAGTAGGCACATCCCACCCAAGCAATGGGATGCTGAAGGAAAGGCTTCCAAGCGTCCAGACCCTGTCCTGATGAACCTCCACCCAGTAACACCAGCCTCTGCCCAAACCTCTCTGTCCCCGACATGGGCGTCTTGGTTCCACCACAAAGCCCAGGAGATGCTACGCCTTGGAGCAGAGGTGCCAGCCTTGCTAGTCATAGAATGATGGAAAGGTTTGGGTTGGAAGGGACCTTGAAGATCATCTAGTTCCAACCCCTTCCACTAGACCAGGTTGCTCAAAGTCCCATCCAACCTGCCCAACCCAACCTCCAGGGATGGGGCATCCACAACTTCTGTAGACAAC